GGGGGATGGATGGGGCTGGGTGGGGTGGGGGCTCCCTATACCTTTTCCACCCCATCCCTCTGGAATCTTTCCCCCATGAACACCCTGATGCCTCCTTCCCTAAGACATTAGCTTTTGCCCTGTGCCAGCCTCCTGCCCTTGTTCATGCAGTGCCCTCCACCCTTCTGGACTCACCGGAAGGCATAGGAGGAGATGATGAGGACCAGGGTAACCACATGGTGAACAAGCATAACCACTGAGTCCTTGCGCCAGGCATCCATGTACAGCGTGGCGTAGATGGAATGGCCATAGAAGCTTCCCTGCAGCAGATAGGCGGCTGCGATGTCCCGTGGCACCGCCATGCCTGGTGTCCAGTCTGAGGAGAGCCAGACCATGTCATCAGGGACCTGCAGGGCCTCCAGAATCTCTGAGTGACCCCCACATGCTCTCAAGCCAGGCATGAGTCCTCCCCATGCCAGGGCAGTCCATGTGTCTCTGCAGCTGTACTGACCACTGGTTTTCCATCCCCGATTCTCTGTTATTTTTTATGAATAGGCATTATTTTCTAGATAAGTTTTAGTTTTATAGAAAAAGGTGCTCCTACCCCTGAAATCAGTCCCTTGCAGGATTTCCGACTCTGCCCTGGTTGCCCTTCCTGTCTTCTCTTAATTACCAGGCACTCTCCAGCCAGTGGGCATGTTCCTGTTCCAGCCTCCCCCTCCCCCAGCAAATTCCTAACTGGATGGAGGCTGCTGCCCACCTCATAGTACTGGCACAGCAGCTGAAGTAGACCCCGTTGATGCCAAGGAATATGGGCTCTCTCTAGGTGGTCTCTGGCCTCCCTTGCCCTCCTCCTGCCACCTCCTCCACTCCTGGCACTTTGTGCCCACTTTCACTCAGGTCTTGCCCCTTCTTGGCAATGCTGACCCCCCATTCTCCCACCACCTCTCTTCTCCGCCCATTACCAGGACCAAGGGGTCTGCCCATTGACCTGGAACTCTGCTCACTGGCCACTCCTCTGTCCCACCCCTAACTCAGTGACCAGGAGCCAGGCCCTCATGACCCAAGAGCCCTGCTGTTTCCTAGACTCCACCCACGGCCCTGCCTCTTGATAACCCTTCATCTGTGCTCTGGCCACTCCTGCAAATGAGATCCATTCAGATCCCCATCCAGGGTCCCCTCTTTGGTCCATGTCTTGGCTCACTTCCCCAGCCCCCCGCTGCCCCTACCCTCGTCCAGGCACCCAGCACTGCCCCAGCTCCTCCTTGCCTCTGAGTGTGTTCCCAACTGTCCACTGTCCCCATGGGGGCTCAAAGGCTATGAATACACAGATGCCACCACGCAGCAATTCCACTCTTAGGTGTGTGCTCAAGGGGACTGAAAACAGGGACTCAGGCACTTGTAGACGCATGTCCACAGCAGCACTAGTCACAGGTGCCAAAAACAACCCATCAATAGATAAAGGATGAACAGAATGTGGTCCTTCCACACAATGGAATATTACTCAGCCACAAAAAAGACACACTGACACACACTAAAATGTGGATGAAACTAGAAAACATGAAGCCAGAAATAAACAGTCCACATAAACTTTAACCTTCTTAACCATGTTTAAGTTCTGTAGCATTAGCTACATTCACACTGTTGTGCAACCATCCCTTTCCAGAACTCTTTTCATGTTGTAAAACTGAACCTGTGTCCTTGTTAAACACCCCCTCCCCATCCTCCCTCCTCCAGACCCTGTCTCTAGGAATCTACATTCTGTCTCTAGGAATCTGACTCCTCTCGGGACCTCCTGTAAGTGGACTCACAGTACTTGTCTTTTTGTGTCTGGCCAAAATGGTTAATTTTATATTATGAGCATTTTACCTAATAAAAAAAAAGAAAAAAGCAAAACTCCTACAAATCAGATCTAGTCTCCCCCCACTTTAACACGTCCAAGGGCTTCTTAAAGCTCGACAGCAAAACCACACTTCGGGAATGCTGCAGTTAGTGGAGGCTCCTCCCCACACACACACACACAACTGCCAGGCACCTCTGTACCTCCTCGCAATGAGGGCACACAGAGCACCGCGATGCAGAGCCCACTGTGGAAAGAGGACACCAAATTTTCCACCTATTACACAGGCAAGACTTACAGGGAGTGAGCATTCCCCCTCCAGCCTCAGGCCTCATAGCTGAGGCAGGGGGGAGAGGGGGGCACATAACTCACCATCCAGACTTCATCTGCCCCTCGCCACGTTGGAGGGCCAGGCTCTGTCCATGGACCTCTAGCCTCCTCTCCATACACGTCCCACCTGTTGCTCTGGATACTTCATATCACTCCTCCCTCCCT